CTCTCTCTCTCTCTCTCTCTCTCTCTCTCTCTCTCTCTCTCTCTCTCTCTCTCTCTTACTGTGCTCTCCTTTGTTGCTCGACGAGGACTTGGTGCTCATCGTGGATTCGTGCTCATCATTGATCCGTGGATCCGTGCTTGGATTCATGCTTTTTGTGCTCATCGTCTTCTCTCCATTGGTGCTCATCGTCTTCTCTACATTGATGCTCATTGTGTTCTATCCTTTGGTGCTTGGACTTTTCGTGCTCGACGGGAACGTGGTGCTCATCGTGGATCCCTGGTTTTCTTTGCTGCACGACCACGTGCTCATCGTGGATCCGTGCTTTTGGTGACCTGCTCATCGTGGATCCGTGCTTTTGGTCATGTGCTGATCGTGGATCCGTGCTTTTGGTCACCTGCTCATCGTGGATCCGTGCTTTTGGTCATGTGCTGATCGTGGATCTGTGCTTTTAGTCACCTGCTCATCGTGGATCCGAGCGGGAACTTTGGTGCATGATAACGTCCTCATCTTTGATCCATGCTTTTGGTGCTCGGTGCTCATCGTGCTCGGTGCTCATCATGGATACGTGCTTTTCATGGCCATCGTCGATCTGTGCTTTTCGTGCTCATCGTGGATATGTGCTTTTCATGCTCATCGTCGATCTGTGCTTTTCATGCTCATCATTGATCCGTGCTTTTTGTGCTCATCGTTGATACGTGTTTTTCGTGCTCATCTACAATACTATAAAAACTGCCCCATCGGCCCTCCCTCCTTCCTCCCTTTCTCCTTCGGGCCATCACTGGCACCATCCCTCCTCCCTCGGCCCCTCCATTCCTGCCTCGCGCACTCGGCCCGTCCTCCATTCCCTCCTCCCTCCTCCCTCAGCCTGTCCTCCATTCCAGAGAGAGAGAGAGAGAGAGAGTCAGCAGAGGCACCATCACCATCCCTCCTCCCTCGGCCCATCTTCCATTCCTGCCTCGACCCTCTCTTCTCCCTCCCTCACTCCTGCCCCATCGGCCCTCCCTCCCTCCTACCTTTCTCCTTCTTCCGTCACTCACTTTATCCGTCCTTCCTCCGGTGGCGTTACCTTCCTCGGCCCTTCGTCCTCCCTCTCTTCTTGCTCTCTTATCTGGGGACGATATAGAGAGTGCATTTTGTTTTTCTTATCTTTTTCAATTTGCGACAAGGGCGAGCGCGTGCGGTCGCACACAGACGCACACAGGGAGGCGTGGAGAGAGAGAGAGAGAGAGAGAGAAAGAGTTGACTCAGTGTGGTGGGACTGGGGAGGAAGAGAGAGAAATATGGAAAGAAATATCGATAACCTGAAATAGTTGGTGCAGGGCAGTTATTCATAAGGCCGCTCCAAAGAGAAAAGACCGAGGGAGAATGTTGAGGAGGCAGAAGATGTACGTTTGGTGGTGGAGGAGAGAGACAAATGCCAAAAAGGTGCGAGGAAGGAAGATAGAGAGGAGGAAGTGTGTTAGGTGAAATGCATTTTTTCTCTCTCCTGTTTTCCCTCTCTCCTTCTTGCATGTGTGCAACCGTGTTGAGATCTTAAAAGAAAGAAATGGATCGATCTTGATAACAAATGGACCGTTTACATCCACCGCATTAAGAAAACGAGGCACTTCTTACGTCGGGCGTTACGAAGGAAGGGCGACCTTTCGAGGGAGGAAGAGAAAGTTAGGGAGTAGGACAGAGGGAGGAATGGAAGGAGTTCAGGTGGTGATCGGGCTGAGGAAGAGGAGGAAGGAGATCGGGGGAAGGAGGAGGTCCAACAGAGATCGGGCGAACGAAGGTGGCGAACAAAGGGGGCGAACGAAGGGGGCGAACGAAGGGGAATGAGGCAGCCAGGTGGACGGAGGCAGGAGGGAGGTTGAAGAGAAGGTGCGAGTAGGGCGGAAGCAGGAGGTCAGGTGGAGATCGGGCCAAGGAAGGAAGGGGAGGAAGGAGATTGGGGGAAGGAGGAGGTCAGTGCGAATCGGGCGGAGGAAAGAGGAGGACGGAGGAGATAGAGGGAAGGAGGTCAGGCGGAGATTGGGCGAAGGAAGGGAGTGAGGTGGCCAGGCGAAGGGAGGGCAGAGGGAGGTTTTAAGAGAAGGTCTAGAGGAGGCCGGGAGGAAAGGGAGGCGGCAGGGAGAAGTAAGGCGGAGGGAGGACTTTTAGCAGAAGGTAGTTTAGAGGCTGAGTGATGAATGGAGGAAGGGAAGAGGTAAGGGGGAGATGAGCATGCGAAAAAGCGTGAAGAGGAAGAGGAGGAAGTGGAAGGAGGCCGGAAGGAAGGGGAAGACGGTAGTGTGAAGTCGGGCGGAGGGAGGGCAGATGGAAGGAGGAGGGACGACAGAGGTTGGGTGCGGTA